TAAACTGCTGTCCAAGCTTGTTCAAAGGTCCAGACATTAAAAAAAAAAAAAAAAAATCAAAGGAAATTTCAGATAATTAACTTTGATGAATGAGCATATTTTAATTCATGTCTGGCAATATTCTTGTTAATGACATGTCTGCCTAGGACATCCATTAAAAGTCCATTAACTTAACAGGGAAAGTCTAATAAAGTTATCCTGGAAATTTTCTGGTATATTAACATTATGGACTTTTAATGAATATCTGCTGTAGGAACTGCTATTAGCAAGGCTACCCATTCTAATTAAACCTAGGCTCTAAAAGAGTGTAAAAAACAGTATGAAGATAATAACAAGCAGAAGTAGCACCTCTTTTTGAAAATTGCTATGAGGGAGATTGGTACAGGTCACAAAACATGCTATCAGTCACAGCTATGAATTATTACCTTGTGGCTTTTTTTCACAGTCTGCCATCCAATCCACCCAGCTCAAGCGCTTCCTTCATGTAATCAATTGCTGAGGCTCCCCTTTACTTCTCTGTCCTTGGGGCTGAGCAGTTCTGAAAGGCTAGCTAGGCCTTTCAGAAGGGTAGAAAATACTTCAATACAATTTTTGATGACAAGGGTAAGTAAAAAGTGTACATAGGAAGGCTGGTATCTATGACCATCCAGCCTTGGTATCAACCCATCCAAAATTTCATCAAGTCCTGCTGCATTTCTGCTGACATTCACAACAGATCTTTTTATATTTATAGATCCTTTTAATAAAACATATATATATATATATATAAAGCTTTTACATTTATATATGTACAAAACAACCCCTGACATACCTATTTTTTCATACTTATCCTCCACCAAATCTTCCAAACCAATCATTTTCCAGAAACTATCATCCCAACCTCCATCTGGAGTGTATGTCCACTTGCACACTACAGTACAGAGGGACCTAGAAAAGAGACAATATAGGTATAGATTCAGGCGAAGAAGCACAGTTGGGTTTTAAACGTGTGACTAGAAAGAAGTTTGGGTAAAATGATCTCTTCACTCAGTAGTGAAAACTTCCAAGCGTAAAGCTAACACTGAAAAAAACTGGTCGCTGTTGGGAGTGCACATCTTGAGATACCTTAAAAGGACCTTATGTTTAAGATTCTTCTCTGCTGAAACAACTCTGGTCTGGCTACTTCATTGCATAAATCAAGTAATAGGCCATGCACATGCCTAGAAGACAGCATAGCAAGTACAGAACATCTCCTAGCAAGCAGCTCCGAGAAAGATTCCTGTTTCTCCAGGCTGTACCCAAATAGCAATGTTTTACACACGGTATGTCCTTGGTAAAAAACTTTCTATTACTTATGTTCAAGCTGAATTACAATCTACTGGACATCAAGCATGCACTGTTAATTAGGTTAAATGGCACTGCTTCAATACCTGCAGGTACAAAATGCTTTTATGAGGTGGATGTGTACAAGCAAAATCGCATCCATCTACCAGCGCTTTGGCATAGCACGTGGTCAAGCACCACTATCCTTAGGTCAGTACCTGGGGAGAAGCCGATGATAATCCAGTGACGTGCTGGAACAGCACAGCCCCCATGCAGCTGAGCGCAGCATTACATTCCCGTTTCATGTCTCATTCCCAATAAGTTGATGCTGAACTTCACTGTGACAGTCCAGCATCACGAGGGCAGAGTACCGGAGCAGAAAATAAACAAAAGGCAAGAGAACTTGCAGAAATGTCTATCATAGTACGTAGATTTTTTTCTCCTAAAATGATCCTCAAATTCTAATTCCCCCCAAAATATGAATAGCTTTCCTGAAGATTTAATATTGCACAGGCTGTTTTCTGTCTGAACACTAAGAACCATCTCAGAAGATCAGTATTTAATTGTGCTTGAAAAGTCAATAAATTAAAAGGTATTAAAATGCTAAACACTACTGAAAATTTCAGCTGCCTCTAGTCTTGGGAATACCACCGTACCCTCAAGTGCAAGGTATCTCAGCTGCATTTCAGGGAATCGCAACATCATAACTATTCTCAAAGAGAATCCCCTTTCAGAGAAGGATTTTCTCTCAGGTCTTACAAGACAGCTGATTTGTGACTCATTATTAGCCAAACTGTGCTTTTACAGACATATATAAACAAATAGCATGTTACAGTTTGAACACGTATTTTCAAAGCAAACTAAATTTTACTGACGCATTTGAGTTTTTCATGCAGCTTTGCATAAGTAAAATCTAACCAAAATTTCTGTTTACAAGAAATATTTTTTTTTTTAGTTAAAGTAAACCCTCCCTTTCATCCACGTGAACTACCTAGGGAGCTAAATAGGGAGAATTGAACTAAAAGTCCTGTTGCTGTATTACCTACTGTTACTTACATGACCATAATGCCTAGGAAATCCCGCTCTGGCCAACGACCCCACCGCCTACAGCAAGGTACAATTACTGGGCGCAGAAGGAAGACTAAGAAGGAAGACTAAGAAGGAAGACTAAGAAGGAAGACTAAGAAGGAAGACTAAGAAGGAAGACTACCGCCTCGAGGAGACACAGCAATGCAGCTGATAGTCAGGTAAGTGAGCTGCCCCCAGGAAAGTCACACACATCACCACCTACAACCCATGCCCATACAGCACAATCCAACCCCACTACCGAGTGAAAATACTATGTATGCAGTCAACGGGAGGGACAGAACTCCACAGAAAGTACTTCCTGCTAGTAGAGATCCCACTGCAATTTTCCTAACGAGGTGACGCAGAGCTCTTATTTTACAGGGGTAGCAAAAAGCATGCAGTAAATAATTGGGGATCTCTTGTGGAAAAGAAACCACTGAGGGAATGGATTCTGCTACTTTCAGACATCCCTGTCATAGTTTCCTGTTCATTTATATAGAAATACCCCAAAACCAAAGCAACAGTGAGTGCCTCTCCTCCAGCAGTGACTAGCAAAGAAATCAGCAAGCAGAACGGAGAAGGAGAAGCCATTTGATCTACAAATCAAAGCTAAGGCTTCTGGACATACTATACACACCGTGTAGCCAAATTAGAACAGGAAGAGCCTTTCCACACAGCTGGGAAACTCTCTGGAACTGGGATTCACCATGTTTCAGGAGGGTACAATGAGAACCGGGGATGTACAGGTGAGGGCAGGATTCTTACGGGGTGGGACAGCTAGCGGCACCGTTCTCGGTGTACATCTTCTCACGTCACATTGAGCAGGGGGTTGGATGAATATATGCACTCCCCGTACGCCCGTTTCCTCATCCAGGACGGAAGTGCATATTTTACATGAATCATGTTCCATTTTGTGCTGTTCCTTTGAAGTGATCATGGTTTTACAACCTGAGGACTGGTGAAGTTCATTCACAATCCCACCGTTTAATAAAGGTGCATTGTTTGCTCTTTGCAACCACAGAATTTATTAACATTGAACATTCTGGGGGGAAAAAAAATAAACAAATACAGCTAACTATTTATATCCTTATAAATACTGTGGAGGTTATTTCAGGGTTACTCTTCAAACTGCCTTGACAGCCCCCCGCCTCCCCCCCCCTTTTTTTTTTCTTAAACAGTTTAAGAATAGATCAGACAATTACAACTCAGTGTCTGGTTTGAAAACAGAAAAACACATGACCTGTAGCTACAGCAATGACAATGTTGATATAAGAAATTCCAATTTCCAAGGATTTAAAAGCCAGATGCAGAAATCTAATTAGGACCTTTGACAAAAACTGGGTGAATAAATAAATTCTAGGCTGAAGAAAATACTGAGAAAAAAATAAACATTTTCCCCAAATCAGCTCAAACCCCTCATTACAAAGAAAAATAAAGGCAGGGTATTTGAAATAAAGATCATTTCATCACTTGAGGAAAAATTTAGACATAAAGACTGAAACAATAATGCATCAAGTTTTCCCAAATATGGTAAATACCAAATCATAACAAATTATCATCAGAACTGAACATGTATTTTTCTAATTAGATCAATGCTATGAACTATTGCCACACCCAGAGAAATGCTCTAAGGCTGAGAGCTAAACGTCGTGGCTCCTCACTTAAAAAGATCAGAGGGAGTCTTACGTGGCTCCCTTGGAGTCTCCATGCTTATCCAAAGAGAAACTGGAGCAGCCTTGCTGGACTCCAAAGAGCATGTTTTAAACAGGGGCCAGTTCCTCCATCCAGCTCACTCCGAGCAACACCACATCACATGCACAGGCCCACTGGAACAGCATGAACGAGGACAGACCGGCCCTTGTCAATATCCCAAATTCCAGCATATCGGAGCTCTCTTACTGGGCATGGCCGGACTGACCATACTCTCATACGGAACGGCAACGCGGCTGTGAGCCTTGCCATCCTACCTCTGTAGATTTACACAGCAAAGAGCTTACAGAAGAAGGATAAATAGATGACTGCAGGTTGAATTTTTCATACAATATAGAGAACATGCACTGCGAAGGACTCTTCCCAAAAGAATTAACTAGAAGTGGAACGTTCTGATATGAAGACCAAGCTCAAATCTGAGCTAAAACACCAACCCATTACATTGGTAAGTTTGTATTTTCTCATGGCCACAACAAGAACCTCAAAAGGCTTGTTGTAAATGCAGTCTGAGCATTTGCACTGCTCTGGGATTTAAGCTCCTTATTCCACCCTTACCACCACTCATTTGCCATGTAAAAAGTACACGTTTACACGAACAATGGAGCTTTATACAAATCCTGAATATCTAAGCAAAAATATTATACTGCAGAAAGGTATTCTGGTCTCTTAGAAAACAGTTCAAGAAAAAAGGATTTGAGATGCCCGTAATGACAGATCAACCTCACTACATGCTTCAAAAGAGCCTGGGTGTGTCAAACTCAAATCCCTGCCACTTACCCGATGAAGTGCTCTACCAGAGCTGCTAAATCTGTATATCCTAGAGAGCTGTAGGTACATGTAGAGAGAGCAGTCTGTTCGTGGTTGTTCACCTCTGAATACCAATGGCATAGACATGCATTAGCTTTATGAGCAATCACTCAGAAATTCTCCCTCAGAGCATCACCCTGAGGAAGCGATAGCACGACTCTTAACTTGGAAAAAAGGTATCCAGACATTATAATAAAGAGGGAGCTGAGGAACCAAATCGTTACACCTAAAAAGAAAGCCTCAACTATTAAAAAAATATTGTATTTTGCAGCAACTCCTACGTTTTACGAGATGAAGGGCAGCCATTAAACAGAAACAGTACTGATAGCCACTGTGGTACATTCCTTTCTTCCAAACTATTTGGCAGTATTGCCTCAATTATTTGTCCATAAACACCAGACTTGCACTAGCTGAAGCTGGATAAACCAGATGGATAGAAGGAAATGTTCCCCTTACTTCACTACCGGCACCAACTTGGTTCAGAAGTGCTGAGTTACTCAGCCATCATCTAGGCCACAGTCCTCCCCCAACCGCCTAATCCGATGCAGGATTTGAGAAGACACGGTGCGGAACCCTTCAGCAACACAGACCATATTTAGCTGGGCTGAAATACCATGAATTGGAAGACTCTTTTCCTCAAGCATAATCCCAGTACAATGAAATGAAAAATTTCCTTTCTCTGTTCAGAACAAGAAGTTTTGCTCCGAGTACTCCTACTGAAAACAACCACCATTTCGCATGGAAAGCTTTTATTTAAAACAGATTTTCAACGGGAACAGGATTATGTTTAGACTTACAAATTCTACTCTACAAAGAACTACATGATCTTACTTGCATCCAAGAGCCTCAAGAGAAAAAAAACTCTGTAGATTTGGCCGAGCACAATTACACAACCCTTTCGATTACTGCCTAGCTCCGAGTTTTTGCACATCTCTTGCTGAGGACTGACTCAGATGTGTTGAAGTCCTGTATGACCAGACTCTCAGCATTCTGAAAAACCCACCAGCAGTATGTCCCCATAAAAAAAATCATGAGGCTTG